GATGGTCACTTCAAAAAAGCTCAAAGCACCAAGACAATATTTTAAATCCTTTAAAAACTGTATATAACTAATAATTTAGCCTCAAAATGTATAAACCAAAGCTGTCATAAATAAATCCACAATCACACTAAAATACATTGACATATCTCTCAGGAATTGACAGAAAAGCATTCAAAACATCAATAAAGATATAGAAAGTTTGGAAAAAAAGGATTAATAAACCTGATCCCTTGATCCAACTGGACATATACATAAAAGATATTTTACCACATTGGACGAATGTGTGGATTGTGATAAGAGATGTAAGAGCCTCCAATAAAAGTATTTTTTTAAAAAGATATTTTACAACTGCAGTATTCAGATTTTTTCAAGCACATAAAACATTTACAAAAACTGAACAGACATTAAGTCTTAAGGAAGTCTCAATCTCATGGAACATATTCTTTAACTATAATGTAATTAAACTAGAAAAGAATAGTAACCCAAAATTCCCCATGCATGGTGAAATTAAGAAACACAATTTCAATAGAAAATATGAGCACAATAAAACAATAAAGGGGAAAAAAGAGAAAGGAAAAAAAAGCAAGAGAAAAACAAGAAATGGACTGGGAAATTTAGATTAACAAATATTTAAGAGATCGATCAACCAAATGCAACGTGATGACTGTGCTTAAATCCTGATTCAAGCAAAACGAACAACAACAAATTATGAAACGACTATTGAAATGGGAACATGTGAGGGGAGGGACTTCAAAAAGGTCAGAAAAAGTAGTGGCATTAAAAGATAATGAATTTTTTTCACAAACATATTGAAGGCCTCTCATAGTATAAATGTGATGTTATTAAATAATTACCATATATACACGTGTATAAGTCAATTTTTTTCAGCACTTTTTTGTTGTTGCAGTTTTTGTGGTAAAATTGGGTGCTTTGGCTGATATTCGGGTGAGCTGATACTTGAGTATATAGGGTACTCATTTTTAGATGTGTTCATATCATGTGGCTACGTTAGGTTAAAAAAAGTATTTCAGTGGAGTTGAGATGGCATTCAGGTAGAATCACCCACCCAACACTCCTGTTGTTAGACCAGAAAATATAGCTGAGAGGAATTACAAAGAGGTACAAAAAGGGTGAGCATTGATGGTGGGGCAGGAGAAAGGTGAAAGGAAACAGAGGAAATATCTAGGAAGCAAAGCTATGGATAGAGGTATAAACAGAGGTGTACACTTATGTAAATATAGCAATTCATAAAAATAGAGATATTGGCCTATATACATATATATGGCAATACGTTGAGGTAGTGGACGGACTTTGGGCCTCTGCTCAAGCCTTCCCTCAATGTAAGAACACTTTGTTCTAACAACCTGGCATTCTGTGATGCTCACCCTCCTGACATGATCGCTGAAGACATAATGGGTGCACAAGCAAATGTGGTGAAGAAAGCTGATGGTGCCTGGCTATTAAAAGATATAGAGTCTAGAGTCTGAAAGGCTTGAAGTTAAACAAGTGGCCATCTAGAGTGCAGGGAAGTGCAGAGAAGCAACAAGCACACATAGAAGAAGTACACCAGCCTGTGTGATCATGAGGCGCTGGATCAGGTAACAGGCACCAGAAGCTCCAAAAAAACATATTGTTGAGAACGAGGGGGATCGGAGCAGAGACCCAAAGCGCATCTGTGGCCAATGGGATATCCCCTCACAGCAGGGTCACAAAGAAGGGAAGAGTCAACCAGGGTGCAGTATAGCACCAATGAAACACACAATATTCCTCTGGTTCCTTGAGGCTCCCTCACCCCCCACTATCATGACCCCAGTCCTGCCTTCCACTTCGGGCTAGATCAGAGCATGTGCACTTGTACAGATAAGAGCTCACAACACACCGAATCTAGTTCAGATAAACCCCTCGGAACAGAAATTAGGAATAGCGATACCAGGAGAGTAGGGGAAGGTGGGGAGAGGAGAGGATGAGGGCACCGATTTCAATGATCGACATATCACCACCACCCACCACTCTGGGGGTATGAGCAGCAGAAACTGTAGGGGAAGGGAGACAGTGGTCAGTGTAAGATAGGAAAATAATAATAATTTATAATTTATCAAGGGGTCACAAGGGTGGGAGGGGAGAGGGAAGAGCTGTTACCAAGGGCTCAAATATAAAGTAAATGTTTAGAAAATAATGATGGCAACATATGTACAAACATGCTTGATAAAATTGATATATGGATTATTATAAGAGCTCCCAATAAAATGATCTTTTAAAAAAATTTTTTTAAGTATTTTATATATACAGACTTCACCTGAAGTACTGCAGATGAAATATGGCTAAATTTACTTCAAAATAACCTTTCTTTGGTGGTGGGGAGTGTGGAAACAAAGAGACAGAGATACAGATGAAAGAATAGTTGGCCATATATTAAAAACTGATGAACACAGATGGCAGGTTCATGAGGACTCACTATTCTATTTGCCCTATTGTTATTTGAAGGGTCTTCAAAAAGTTCATAGAAAATGGAATTAAAAGTTAATGGAATTTTCCCATGAACTTTCTGAAGCTCCCTCGCAGACATTTGAAATTTCCCATGATAAAATGAGTTAAGTCCAAAACCAACAAGGTGCCATAGAGTCTGGGGCTCCTTAACATCTCTAACCTCTGCGCCTACAACCTTTGGCTCTCCCTGCAATAACAGGCACACTTTCAAGATCTGCAACTGGGATTCCCTCTGCTTAGAATACGCCTTTCATTTAGTCACATGGCTAGCCCCCTCATTACATGAGACCCCAGCAGAGTGGCCCTTCCCAGCAGAGTGGCCCTTCCCAGGTGCTACAAAGTCACTCATGTCCACGCTCCACTGCTCTAGCCTCTTCATTGCATTTCTCGTCACGTATGTATTCGTTTACTGTCTCTCTCTCCCCAGTAAGAATGTAAGTTCCTTAGGTAAGTTAATTTTGTTTTATTGACTCTTCATTCCCAGCACCGAGGACAGGGCCTAAGCTTCATGGTGACTACCTAATTAATACACGAATGAAACGGATGCCGGTTGGTGTTGAATGCAATGATTAATGAAAGAATACCTAAAGATAACCAACTATTCCAAAAAGCTACATAGTGTCAAAAAGTTTTATAATTTACTTTGTATCCATTTCTGATTTATGCTTCATCTCCACAATTTCTACCATGAAAAGATCAATAGGGTAACCTGGTCTTCTCACAGCCAAAACAGAGTCCACCACAGCCTGAAAGACAAGCAAATGAGAACAGTCAAGTATTTGGTCTCCTAGACTCCTTGCCCAGGTAAGCAACAGTCCAATTAAGCAGGGACAGGGATTCAGACTCCAAAAGAGTGTCTACCACGCTAGAAAACATAGAGCAAGGCCAAAAGGGGCCACTTTGTTAGGGACACTACTAATAACTAATGCCAAAGGATACTTGAGGGTATCATCAAATCTAACACATTCACTTTATAGAAACTGAGATCAACCTTAAGGGCTGAAGGTAAGGTTGAAGTGCAAGTCGTAAAGCCAGGAGCAGTATTTAAATGGCCAGCCCATTGCTCTTCCCACCAGTGATCCCCCCCGAAGAACACACTAGTGGGAAGGAGGAAGTCTAGTCTAAGGGAAGAGCCCACCTTTGCTGGTTCTATCAATATGAAGATTTCTTTCAAGTCTCGTGTTTTATCATGAAAAGTTTCCATGTCATAGGCAGGGAAAGATCCTGGGATGTTTGTGCGAGTTAAAGGCAACAGAAGTTAATACTGGTATACACACATCATTCTACAAGCAGATGCTTAAAAAGAGCTTAACTTACCATGGCATGCCATAAAATGTTTTCATATGAAAACAGTACTTGCCCCTAAAAATCCTAATGTACAATTGATCCTCCGGAAATACATGTCTTGTTTATTCTGCCCATAAACAATGACAATCTCAGAAACCCAGAGGGGTTGCTATGAGTTAGCACTGACTCAATGGCAGTGAGTTTATTATTGATTGTGCCACACGTCCTCAGGGATATATAATTTGATAAGTACAGCACAACACATCCTATTGCTTTGCTCAGAAAATAATTTGAAAATAACTGCCTATAGAAATTAAGGGATAAGGTATAATTGCCCTAAAAAATCATAATAAAGAAAAAAAACATATGTATCTTAGAAATGTTTACCCAAGGTAGCATAATCTTTGATCTGGGGGCCTCATCAAGAATAATGAAAAGAAAGCCCTCTGGAGGTTGAGAAACTCCATGTGTCCAGAGCTCCTAAAGAGTGGTCCCCTGTTCAGGAAGACTGGACCACTTGCTGAATAGGGACTCCCACTGCATCAAACGCAGCACGTCGTCAGAGTTTGTGTTCTGACTCCATTCAGCCAGAAATGGTCTGATCTGAATCTTATTTCCCAAGTGGGCTTTCCTGTTGGTCAGAACTGACCAGAAACAGCTCAAGTCTCATAGTCGGTTCAGGATTGATGTTTCACAAAGTCAACTAGGAGAGAGCGTTCTGATTTGTATGACAATCTTCTGTGAACTTGGTGGTTATGGATTGACCAATCCTGAAAACGCCTATGGTGCCAAATAGGCAACGCTGGAAAACACCATTATCAAAACAACAGCCACTTGACACAAGCCTTCTCAAAATATGCGGCCAGGCTGTCCTTTCAGTATATGCATATAGTCTACATTTAAACAGGAAGGAAGCAAACATGCATTTTCTAGCAGAGTTACTCTGCCTCATTAAAGTGGTAACCTTAACCCCCAGGCACACTGCCAAAAACAGCTTCCCCCCAGTACCCGCTCACATGTTCAAACCTAGAGAGCCCACGTACCACCCCAACAGCTTCCATGAGAGGATCCTCAGGCAGCCAACCCGATCACACTTAAAGTTTAGTATTGTGTTACCTCAGGAAAACTTTTCTACCTTTAGATAAATGGAGCCAATACTGTTCTGATGAAATCTAGTCTACAGTAAGTCTGCTAATGCTGGTTTCCATATCATATGTTCAAAAGAAGTGCCCGCAGTACTCCGCTACCTTACAAGGAAAGGGAAATATCACCAGGCTATACATGCTCGGAAAATACACCCTTAATTGCATACCTCTGTTAACACACCAGCCAGCTCAGCATGAACTTTAGTTTGCAAAGATGTTTGAGCCACTGCTAAGAGGATGTTTCTTTTCATCTCCTTCTTTACTTTAATGTCCTCCAAAACTTCAAGGGCTTTTGTCTTTGCCGCTTCAAATCCTTCAGTTATTATTCTAGGGTGCAGGCCCTATTAGAGCAACATAAGACTATAAACTATCAGTAAGCCATGCAAAAGAAAATTATCTTTTCTTATTACTATGTCCAAAATCTTAGTACTACCTCTATCACTGACACTAAATAGAGGTGTTTAAGTGTATGTATGTAATGTAAAAGATCTTTTTTCAATGCATATTTGAAACAATGCCATACTTACAGAAAAGTACAGCTCTAATTAAAAAAAAACCTGTAAGTCTTTTTTTGTGGAACAGAAGTAAAAATCAGAAAAGAGGCCAAGCTTATTTGTTGGATACAGACTGGTAGGACTTCCAAACCTATGGCTTTTAGATACCCTGCAGGTCTGGAGCTGAACTCACTCAGGGGTTAGAACAATCAACTACTCAAGGTCAAAGAGGCAGCATTTACCCAAGGACAGAGGGTCAGGAAGTAAGGAATGGAAACAGGAACCCCCAGGAGGAGCGACGGCACATTGAGGAAGTTGAAACGGATGAGTTGGAACAAAATGTGCATAAGTGGTTGGACCTAAAACGGATGGTCTGCCCCGTAAGCCTCCACCTAATAACAATAAAAAGGTATTTTTAATTGTATTTTTTTCTGAAAAGCATGACTATATTGTTCTTCAGTGAGTGCCCTTCTAAATGGGCACCAAAAAAACCTCCTTGGAAGCAGCACTGCCTTGCAGAAAAGGCAGACAGACATACACCACCTTAATCAAGTGATCAAAGTGAGCATTACACAGGGTCGCTGTGTGTCGGCACTGCCTCAATGACGGCGAGTTTGGTTTTTCAGAATGGGACAAATTAACACCATATGGCTGCTGGTATGATGCACTGCAAACATACCACCAACCGCTGATGCACGGCACCATACGCTGAGTCCAATCAGGAGCACACAGACCCAAGTTGAAGGACGCTGGCCTAAACTTTACTAGTGGCAGTGTCTTCGCATACACAAAGACTCAAGAACTAGTACAAAGATGTGACAACTAAACACAATGTATGAGCCTGGAGTCTCTTTTGCAATAAAAAGCATCATTGGGACAGGTGGGAAAATCAGAATCTAATCTGCAAATTAGATAATAGTACTGTATCCATGTGTCAGTATCAATATTGACTTAAGGCTTTAAATTATTATACTTTGATTACGTAAGATAACTCCTTCATTTTAAGAAATACACACTGAAATATTTAGGTGATCATGTCTGTAATTTATTCTCACACTCTTCAGGGAAAAAAGAAACATGTGCCTAGCTCACTTTCATATATAGGGGATACTCATACAATATACATATGATATTTCAAATGTATCATGTATACACATTTAGATGAGTGGGAAATACTTGGAAAATATGGTTGAAAAATATACGAATTCTTTGTAATACTCTTCCAACTTTACCATAGGTCTGAAATAAGACATAAAAATTTTAATAAAGAGTATTGTTTATCTGGCATAGTAATACACAAGTTTTTCTTTTTTTGTTTTACACAAGCTTTTTGAAAGCTGGTACTAGTCTAATTGCTTCCCTCCTTCCTTTACATTAGCCCTACAATTTAAGATGACATTTATTAAACATTGTGCCAGGCACTGTTCTGTTTTATATAATTTAATATAATCTTCTCAACAATGCCATGAGAGGGTGTTTTTATTATTTCAGATGAGAAACAGAGGTTTAAAGGGGTAACATGACTCACCTTCGATTAGCCAACAAGTAAGAGATGCAGTCAGGATGTGAACCCACAATACCCGACTCCAAAGCCCATGTTTGCTCGTGTTTTTTTTTCATTTCCTCCGTGTAGGACATCATAATCTCTCATCTGAACTAGCATGAGCACCTCCAGTGCTGATTCCTTGAAACTATCCCTCAGATATCAAACACGTAAAATGTCAGCGAGGCTGTATATCTCATCAATATGTTAATGTTTGTTCCATAACACAGATGGGCTACAGCATCGGCTTCTTGGCTGATATGCTGTATGCCGTCTGTGGTCGAGCCCACTCACCTACTTCCTGAGATCCAGAATGGTCGCCATTTCAAAGAAAAGTGACCCAACAGAGAGAGGAAATCACCAAACAAACTCATTGATAACACACAGTAAAATCCTGCTGAAGACACTGTAATTCAAAAATGATAGCAGCAGTACATCATTAGAGAGCTGCCAGAAATTCAAGCCTGATTCACACGAGGACATGGGATGAGGGCGATCATTGCTGATGTCAGAAGGATCTTGGTGGAAAGCAGAGGATGCCAGAAAGATGCTTACATGTTGTTTTACTGACTGTGCAAAGGCAGTTACCTGCATAGGTCATGACGGGAATTCCAAGTAACGGCATTGTGCTCATGCAGAACCTGTACATAGATCAAGAGGCAGTCATTTGGACAGTCAAGCGCATGCTGCATGGTTTTAAATCAATAAAGGTGTGTGTCAGGGTAGTAACATCTTCTCACCATATTCAATCAGTATGGTGAGGAAATCATTTGAGAAGCTGCACTATATGGAGAACGACACAACATTAGGTATAGAGAAAAACTCATTAACAACCGTATTTGCTGAAAGCGAAGAGGATTTGAAGCACTCACTGATGAAAATCAAAGACGATAGCTTTCAAAATGGATTATGCCTCAACATGAAGAAAACAAAAATCCTCACAACTGGACCAGCAAGTAACATAACAATGGAATCAATGAAGTTGTCAAGGATTTCATTTTAAGTTGGATGCATAATCAATGCCCATGGAAGCCATTACCAAGAAATCGAACAATGTATTACATGGGCAAATCTGCTGCAAAAGATCTCTTTAAAAGTATTCAGAAGCAAAGATAGCACTTTGAGGACTGAGGTGCGCCTGATCCAAGCCATGGTATTGTCATTGCTTCCTACGTCCCTGCTGGACAATGAACACGGAAGACCAGCGAAGACTCTATACACGTGGATTATGGTATTGGCAAAGAATATTGACTATCCTGCGGACTGCCAAAAGAGCACACAAATCTGTCTTGGAAGAAATCCAGCCAGATTACTTCTTAGAAAGGATGGTGAGACTTTGTTTTCCCAGACTTTGGACATGCTATCCGGAGGGAGCAGTTCCCGGAGAAGGCGGAGAGCTGGTGAGAAAGAGGAAGACCCTCGAGGAGATGGGTGGGAGACAGGGGCTCCCTCAGTGAACTGAGACAGAGTAATGACTGTAAGGATGGTGCCGGGCCAGGCAGTGTCACTAGAAAACAAACAACGAGACAGCGAACCCGAGCACTCCACTTCCTGTCTCGTCTCCACTACCGTCCAATCACTTTAAACTCCAGCCACACCCACAAGGAGAGCTCCACACACACCCCCAGCAGCTCCAGGGGAGAGAGACTGGGCGTCCTACTCCTGTGCCCAGTTACAAGCTCAGAAAACCCACAAGGGGTCGCTATGAGTCAGCATTGACTCGATGGCCCTTGAGTTTACTTTGGTTCTACACATGCCAGGTTACTTGTGTGCCTCTGTTCGTGTTGTACCTTCTACCTGGAATGCCATTTCCTTACTCCTCACTCATTCATCTGGCTCACGCCTTTTCCTCCCGAAGACTTGGCCCCAAACTGTACTTCCTCCAGCAAACGCTTCTCAACAATTCCTGGCTAGTTAAGGCTATGGAGCCCTGCTCCTCAGTGCTCCTCAGATAGCCTGTGGACATCCGGCTCTATCTCGAAACTGCCACTCTTTCCTCCTTCTGTTGGTGTTTGTCAGCATAACCCCCTCCCCGTCAAATGCCTTTATTCCTACCCCAACCTTAATGTTTCATAGGTTTTTCTCTTCATCCTGTGCTTCATAGGAAGCCCACACACCGCTCAAGATGTAGAACAACCTGACTAGCCTAACTCAGTTTCCCCAAAAAGTGTTACTGACCTGGGATGGACATAAAGGAAGAGTTGGTGCCAGCATGTGAAAGGATTTATAGTCCACTGTGGGGCCAGAGTCTTTTCCTTTCCTTCTCCTGCTGGATGTTAAACTAAGGGAAGCAAGTAATTCGGATTTTCCCTGGGAATCTTACTTTCATGATATAAATAAGCCTTAGGAAGAAATAGCATTGCAGGTGGAGAAGCTAAGAGACAGCAAAGACCTGGGTATCAAATAACTGATTAAATTTTTTAATCACTCAAGCCTAGGGCCTGCTTTATCACTCTATGTTCTGTTATAGACGATAATCAGTTCCTTATGGTTTGAGTTTCAAATTTCTACTACTTACAGCCCAAAACATAGTAACTGATATAAGAAGCAAGCACTGAATTAATGTACAATTCCCAATACTAAATGAAACATAAAGAAACAGTAACTTCGGTAATTGGATTAGGTTTTGTTGAAATGATCCTTGAAAGAGGGCAAATGCAAAAACGTACTTGGAAAAGCGAGCTAAGTGATGCCAAGAAAAGAACACAGGTTAAAGAAAGTCCCGAGAAGCCAAAGGGAAGGTATTGTTTCTATCTCCACAGGGAAAGAGGGACCAGACTTC